AACAACCAATAAAAAAAAAAAAAAAAAAAAAAGGGCTGGGGTTATCGTCCATTAGACCCAACGCAGCAAAGCTCAGCAGTTTAAAGTTATAGATGATGATCCTCCACAAATTCCAGTGAAAGAAAAGCGATTTCAGAAGGTTCTTGAGACAGACCCTCTGATGCTGCTTTACCATCCCAATTCCCAGTTCCCTTTTCTCAGCAGAGATGCAGGCAGAGAGACCACTCCATTGTTAATAGACTAGAGTGTAGAGGGAGGCACAAGGGACAGTACTATTGACTCCACTGCAGGGTTTGGGCTTTTGATGTCACCCAGGATCCTGCTCAGGCAGGAAAAAAAGCAAATAACTTGGAGGACCAAATAAGACCCAAACAAAAGATATTTAAAAAAAAAAAATCCAGCAAGTACTTTGCTTCGAATGGAGCAAACAAGCACTTTAGCCTTCAAGGAAGAAGTCTATGCAACCAGGGTCAACCTTGGTGCCCACTCTGCTCCCTGTCTCCTTATCCTCACACTCTCACAGGGGCCTCTTGGTGCCTGGGCCGAGTTGGCCAGCACACCCTGGGAGTAAAGCACTGTTTACTCTGTGGTCTTTTAATGGCCTAGATCCCTCCTTTCCCAGAAAACTGTTTGCTGTGAAGCCTCAAAAAGAGGAGGGTCCATTTTGGTTTCCTTCCAAATGAATTCGGTAATCAAGGTTTGCAGTGACCTGTAAGTTTCGCCCATTAGCTTGTCACATAGCAGGACAAGGAGGTTTCAGTGTATTTCCTTCATGTTCTCTCCCATTTTCAGCCCCAGCCCCGGAACAGATTCACAGGTCCAGAATGTTCTCTTCTTCCATTTTTTTTTTGTTTGTTTGTTTGTTTTAGATTCAGATCAACCCTCCATTGCCCTTCAGTTAAATCCTCCTCAGACTCCCCAGAAGTTGAGAAATACTCACAGAGCTGCACGGTGCTCCTATAAGCCGTCCGGTTGTCTTCCTCACGATAGACAAAAGAATCTTTGCATCCTGATTCCTCTCTCCGTAATACCCTCGTGCTACCTAATCCCACCGTCATAAGCTCAGAACACCAACCCAAGGGCA